GCTCTTGTCACTTTATCTTCTGTCTGGCTCTGGTTTCCTTTAATAACAGATTACCAGTAAAAAGATAGAAGATGGCATACTTTGCAAACAATAATCAGAAGAATGGAGAGAAATTAATATTAATATCAAGTAATGTTAGTTTTAGAGCAAGGAAAATGACCAGGGTTAAAAATGATAAAAAGGTCAACCCATTGATAACACAAGACGGTTTTAAATGTTCCTTCATCTAAAACTGGAATTTCGAAATGCATGAAACAAAATCTCCTTGAGCTGAAAAAAGAATTAGACAAATCCACAATTACAATTGGAAACTTTAAGATTTTTTGGTCAGTAACTGGTACAAAAAGTAGGCATAAATCAGCAAGAACACAAAATGTTTTGCAGTTGGATTTCATCTACGTCACACACTTTTGCTCTGCAGAGGACATTCTTCAGAGAACAAAAAGACAAGATGAAGCCAGGAAGAGAACAGTAATTATAATCACATAACTAACAAAAGATTTGCATTCAAAATACATAAATAACTTCTGAAACTCAGTAACAAGAAAACGAACAACCCAATTTGTTTACATGGGCATATTGCTTTGACAGAGACTCTGCAAAAGACATGAGTGTCCAACAGTGACATGGGAAGATCCCCAACAACTTTTCTCACAGGGATTCATTATGAGAGTTGTGGTGGGTCTCACAAATGCTCAGTTTGCTACCTATGAGAATAACAAAATGTCAAAATGCCAGGAGAAGCTCAATATTGTACAGTAAAATACAACTTTCCTTGCACTTAATGTTGTAAAAAAAAATAGAAATAATAGGCATATCTTTAAAAATATTATGTTATTACCTTCTACTATTTTTATATATAAGCTTGTGGTTGATGTATATTATTACCATCTTCCAAATAAATATAAAGTAACCAAGTCAAAGCTGCATTTTTCTGTATGCTTTGGCTAAAGAAAACTATGCTTAATACAACTCAGTATTTGAAATCTAAAATCTGAGAATGCTAATAATTTCCAAATACTAGTATTTCTGCTGTTCAAATACATGGACCATTTTTGCTAGAGAAAATTCATTCTCAAAGTCTAACTTGGTTTAGATCTTAACAAATAATTTATTTTAATTCTAATACCCTATACTAGTATATTGCACAGAAAGAAGACACTCTCATATATTGTAGTTCTAAATGGAATGTATATTAGTTAAAAAATTCTAGAAGTAAATCATCAATATTTCCAATAATTCTGAAAATAGAAGAATCACTTTGTCTTTAGTATATACTTTTTGTTATTAACTAATAGTAAGCACATAATATATCCTAGGCACTTTGGCAAATACATACAATTCATTATCCTTGTGAGTGATTTCAACAAGTGAATAAAGTAGGCCATATATTTGTTGTATACGGTTTATCTATGAGAAAAATGAAGCTCTGAGAGTCTTGTCCAAGGTTTTACAATGAGTAGAAATATAGCTAAATGTATGTAAATAACTTAGCACTATACCTAACAGTAAATGGGGATTTTTAAAAAATCATTACTAAAATCTTAGTTATTTGAATGAATGTTGGAAAAATAATTGCAGGTATCTTGAGAGCATCATTTGCAAGATCAAGTATAACAAAGGATCACATTTAGGAGAGAATACTTTGTAGTGAATCTGCTGATTGGCCTCCCAGGATCTACGAGGGGAGCAGAGGCCCTTCTGGAGACCAAGGAGGAGAAGACGGCCTTGATTAGGAAGGAACAGAACTAGATATCTTGGCTCTGGCAAGAACAGGGATTGGAAAGGTTACTTCTGTGGTTCAAACACCACGTGATCCCCTTGCTAAAAATGAAGAAATAAATGACCTATTTCCCTTTCCTTCTAGTCTCCCGCTCATTTTTCCATAACTAAGAAACACGGACCGAAACATGCATTTGCTGATACACTGCTCTTTAATTCTAACATCTACTTCCCTTCTTTTCTAAGTTTCCAATATGAACTTCTTTCTAACCCCTGAATTTGTACCTCCAAATAATGGGAGATAGGGAACAACTTCTGAATCTTCTTTCTAGTTATTATTTTAAGGGCAAACGGCCCGCTCTGTGCTCTCCCCGTTATAGATGGCTCTGTGGCAGAGGAGCTGGCTGGCGAACATCTCATTACAGGGCGCAGGCAGCAGCACTCGCCTCGCCTTCGCCCTCTCACTCTGCTGCTCACCGGGTGCCTCCCATGGCCTCTGGCCCACAGACAGCAGGTCAGTGGCTTGTAATAACGGCCATTAATTTAAAAGACGGAGCTCCGGTTCTTAAACTCCTTTGGAATAAATATCATGGTGTGAGTTGGCTTACTTTTTTGCACTACATTAATCTTCCTTTCCTTTCAAAACACGGCAAAAGGAAATAGTCTATCTTCAGCAGGAATTACTAGTGTGAACCATTAAATATTCCTGAAACCTATTTTTTATTTTTCTGGTTAGTGTGCTGTTATTCATGAGTTTTTAGAAAATATCAACAAAATAGGAACAACCTCTCTTAAGTATAAGCCATATTAAATATGGCTTCTGTGATTCCCTTCTAATCATTCTCTTCAACTCCTATGCCAAACAGGAAATGATATTCAGTCACTTGTTCCCAACCCCAGAGGATATGATAGGTTCTAAGACCCCAATGGATTCCTGAAACCACAATGATACTGAACAATATATACTATGTTCCAATGATAAAATTTAATTTATAGATTAGTCCCAGAAAGAGATTCACAACAAAAACTCACAATAAAATAGAATAATTATAACAATATTCTCTCATAAAAGTTATGTGAATATGGCATTATTAAGTAAAACTAGAGGCCCGGTGCATGAAAATTCATGTACTGTAAGGGGGGTGGTTTCCCTCAGTTCAGCCTGCCCCCTCTCATAGTCCGGGAGGCCTAAAGGGCAGGAGGTGACCCAGCAATCAGAGGAAGGCAACACCCCCATCACACCTCTACTGCTGCCACTGCTGGCAGAGCAAGCCTAGGCAGGCCCTGGTTACCTGAGCTTCAGGTGGCCCTGGGCAGCTGGGCAGCTGCCATCTGAGGCTAGTCTGTGCCTCAGGCTGGCCCTAGGCGGCTGGAGGGATCAAGAGACTGGGGGACTCTGGGGGTAAGTGCGTGAGCTGAGGGGACTGAACACCACCATCTTGTGGCTGTGGGTGCTGCCATCTTAGAAGGCATGACAGTCAATTAGCATATTCTCCTTATTAGCTGTGGGCACCAACATATTTGTGAGGGTGTGAGGGTCAATTAGCATATTCACTCTTTATTAGATAGGCTAAGGGTCGCTGCAACAAAAGCACTTAGATAAGGCGACAATTTCATCACCAACAGAGCTACTAAGCAACTGACTGGCAGAATACAGGGGTCAAAAGGAAGACTTGTGTCCTAGGTGGAACAGAGGAGGATGGTATGAGATTTCATCATGCTACTCAGAATGGCATGAAATTGAAAACTTGTGAATTGTTTATTTCTGGAATTTTCTATGCACTAATTTTGGATGGCTGTTGGCCACTGGCAAGTGAAACTGTGGAAGTAAAACATATGGAAAATAGAAGGAACTACTGCTTGTCGCTGAGGAGGGAATTTGGACTGGATCATGTATTGTTCCCCTGGACAGTATGGTTTTCTGGGCTCTTTGCTGGCCTCGAAGAATGAAACCATGGATGGAGGATGGTATAGCAAAGCTGGAAATTTATTGAGAAACAAGGACAGACTCCCATATTGGGAGAAGAGTCCCACTGAGTCCCTTTTCCCAAAGGTCTGTAAAGACTGCAGATCTTTGTGCCTTCAATATCCCCTCTAATTGGACACTATTTCCCTTAGATTGGTTACTATAGCAACTTTAGAGTGCAAAGCTCATGTGAAGTGCTTGAGGATCCCTCCTCCTGCTCCCTTATTGTTCTCCTATTTCCTCTGGGCTTTCTTCCTCCCTCAATTTTGTGAATGTGTATCTTTTGCCCCTCCCAACTTCCTTGCCATTCTGTAGCCCTGTGCTTTTTTCACGGACCCCTTAAGTTTTAAAATTTCCTAAGCCTGCCTATTTCATCCCTAAAAATTCCTTTCATTGCTCTGAATCCAAGACTTGTAGACAGCAGGTTCTGTAGGTTCCCTCCTCCAACAACTCTTGTTCTCTCTCTTTGCAAGTCATGTTCCCCATGAAAAAAAATATATTTATTTTTTCTGTTTGGGATCAATGTCTGACTAGAAGCTTCCAATGCTACATCAGCTTAGTTTGCACCATCTGTGCCATCCAGAATCCTAGGAAGGCTTTTTTTTTCTAAATCATATTGGCACTTGATTCAAGGCTGCCAGACCACGTGCTTAATTCCAGAGAGCAAGAGAGCCTTCATGAGAGTGCGGGGAAGAGGGAAGGAGAATGCTAATCACAAATGCATGTTAAGAAACACAATCCAGAGGTGAGGCAGAGTGTGAGTCAGGCATGTATTGTTCATTTCTTACACAGTACAATCCCAGTTCTCTAACTGAATTCGTTCTGGAAGACTGTTCCAGAGCAGTTTGTTAGAAAACAGAAACGTTTTTTCCCCATCAGAAATAATATAAATTGAATCCATCCATCCCAGATCCCCAAATGATTCCCCGTGTTAACCTTTCTCATACCCAGTACTTGTCCAATGTACTGCTTCATTTATAAATAAACACTTATTTTCTTATGTTTATTAAACCGCCCCCCTACTAGCCTTAAAGGAATTTTTCATATATCACCACTTTAGAAATGCTATCGCCAGCTTCCTGCTTGTCCTTTGTCCAACCAGCATCAGGTTTTCTAACTGAAGTGCTGGTAATTGCCGTTTTATGAGCATTTTCACACCCTTTACAACATTAGTAGTCTTGGTGGCCTCCTTGTGTTTTAAAATTATACTAATCATCTCTCTAGCCAGCAACAAAAGCATTCTCTCCTTGTGTTTGTTCCCTGAGAGATACTTTTTGCCATACTTAGGTATCCGCATGAAAGGGGTGAGCAGTCAAAAACTGAAGTTTTGGTGGACAACCAAGACATTTTTTCTGTGAACAACTTGGTCAAGAACCGAATTGTTTGAGATGGGAGACATTGGAGAACAGAGGTTTGACTGTACTCAGAGTGACAAATATCCCAGCTCAGAATCACTAAATGTGTGTCTAGGAGAGTTACTTAAAACTGTACATAGGAACCATTCTTTTTAAAAAAATATTTTATTGATTTTTTTTTTACAGAGGGGAAGGGAGAGGGATAGAGAGTTAGAAACATTGATGAGAGGAGAAACAATGATCAGCTGCCTCCTGTACACCCTCCACTGGGGATGAGCCCACAACCAAGGTGCATGCCCTTGACTGGAATCAAACCTGGGACCCTTCGGTCTGCAGGCCAACGCTCTATCCACTGAGCCAAACCGGTTTTGACAGGAACCACTTTTTCTCTTTATTTCTAAGAAAAGAATTTCAGCAAGAACTGAATAGCCAGCCAGGATTTAAAGAGCAATCTGCGCTCTCTGTCTCCACTAACTACCCCCCTACCTAAGTCCCTCCCGGATGAGGGTTAATGAGTAACAAGAAGGGCATGCAAAGGACAGGATGCAAAACTGTTGCAGATCCAGGGAAGGGGAGCGTTCAGCTTCAAAAATAGTGGGAAATAAATTAATGGGATGGTGGGGGCATTTGAATTGACTTGATAACAAAGATAAAGCCAAATATTTAATGGTGGTGTTTTGTGTTTTTGTTTTGTTTTGTTTTGTTTTGTTTTTAAGACCATGGAATAGATGTGAGCACCAAAAGAGCAATGACATCAAAATGGCCATTTCAAAATGCTATATATGGACTCTCTGGTTATAGTGTGACATCTCAGGTCACTGCACCTCTCTCCTTCTGTCACCTACAAGCATAACTAGGCAAACTGCAAAGAGCAGCTACCTGAGCACTTGGAAGATGAGACAAAGCCAGGGGATTGTGGAGGAGGGTCAGTGCTTGGAGAAGCAAATGCAAGAAGTGGGTTCCCCATTTCCTTCTGGCACCGGCTAAGAAGCACCTGCCAGGAGAGGAAAGCAGAGAGAGAGCATGGGATTCCGTAACTCTGTGTGTGCACTGCCAGAGCCTCAAGCTCACAACCTCCGCAAGGGATGGGTTTGCCTTGAAAATGAGAATGAGCACAGCATAGGCTTTGGGAACTGGACTCTCTCCCAACAACCGTGCAGAAAGGACGAGACAGATTTTGCAGTTTGCAGCCTGCACAAAAGCGAGCCAACTGCTTGTACAAAAGAGTACGTTAAAAACTGAAAATGTGTCAATATTCTGCAAATAAGTGAAACAGAGACTAGTGTCCATTGGACGGAGCATTAACCATGTCCAGGATTCCGTCTAAAATCACTGCATATGCCACAGCCAGGAAAATGTGACCACTCCCAAGGGGAAGACAATGAGCTGATGTCTACTCAAGATGACTCAGAAGTTGGAATTATCTGACAAACAATATAAAACAGAAGCTACAGCTCAGCTCCAACTCGAGACATCAGTATGATCAACTTGAAATAACGGGAGATGGAAGTTCTTAGACACAGAGAATGCTATCAAGAAAATCTCATTACATTTTAAAATTTATAACTAAAAATAAAACACCATGAAGAGGGAGAAAGGTATAAAGGAATACACACATTTTACATATATACATAACCTACATATATTTATATGCATTGTATGGATGTGTGTGTGCATTCAGAATATATAACAAACAGCTACAAAGACTGTAGATTAGACAAATGAACAAAAGATGCAAAAAAAATAGGTCCTTCAAAAGAAATGTACTTGTCCAGCTGGTGTGGCTCAGTGGTTGAGCATTGGCCTATGAACCAGAAGGTCACCTGTTTGAATCCCAGTCTGGGCACATGCTCAGGTCATGGGTTCCATCCCCAGTGTGGTTCTTGAAGGAAGAAGCCAATCAGTGATTCTCCCTCATCATTGATGATCCTCCCTTCCTCTCTGAAATCAATAAAAAATATATTTTGGGGAAAAAAAGAATGTATTCAAATGGCCAAATATGATCAAAACCATTAATAATAAAGGAAATGCAAATGAAAACCAAATGAAATACCAGGGCATGCTCATGAGGCATTAATGAGAAACATGTACAGGTGACAAGGACAAGTGTCCACAGTACTGGTAGGCAAACTCATTAGCCAACAGAGCCAAATACCAACAGGACAACAATTGAAATTTCTTTTGAGAGCCAAATTTTTTAAACTTAAACTTCTTCTAATGCCACTTTTTCAACATTGACTCGCCTAGGCCGTGGTATTTTGTGGAAGAGCCACCCTCAAGGGGCCAAAGAGCCGCACGTGGCTTGCGAGCCGCAGTTTGCCGACCACGGGTCTACGGGATCCGGAGAAACTGACAATACCGTGCAGGCTATTGGGGATGAAGGCTGGGGAAGTATCTTGGGAAACTAACTTAGTTATCTACCAGCTCTAAAGTCAGATGCAGTAATTTTATTCTTCGAAATAGACCCCAAAGACAAGTAGGCATACTCAGAGCAGCTTTCTTTATGATAGCCATTTTTTTTTCCTTTTTAAAAATATTTTTATTGTTTAAAATATTCCATATATTAGTAGTACATATATCTCCTCACTGCCATTGATCTTCCCCTAGCCTCCCCTACCCTCTGTCTCAGGCCCTCATCCCACCTCCCAGTGTCTTGTGTCCATTGGTTGTGCTTATATGCATGCATACAAGTCCTTCGGTTGCTCTCTTTTCCCCCCTCCCAACACTCCCCTGCTTTCCCACTGTAATTTGACAGTCTGTTGGGTGCTTTACTGCCTCTGTATCTATGTTTTTATTCATCAGGTTATAATGTTCTTTATTTTCCATAAATGAGTGAGATCATGTGGTATTTTTCTTTCATTGCCTGGCTTATTTTACTTAACGTAATGCTGTCCAATATGATAGCCATTTAAATGAACATCAAACCAGACAGATACTCCAGGTGTGGAAATCAAAAGAGTATGATTTTGAGGAGGGAGGCGAGGACAAGGACAAGGACAGGCATGAAGGAAGTGTCCATGTCCTGCTGAGCGATGGGCGTGCAAGTGCATCGACCCAGCCATTCATTTAGATCCCAGCGCCCCGCAGTTTCACTCCGGTAATGAGAGTTTGCCCCAGGAATGAGACAGACACCTTCAAACTGCCCATATTCACTTACCAATATTTAATCTGGAATATCGCCTGGTTCTGAATACAAACCCTTAGGGCTAGACTCAGAAGAGGCCTAAATTTAAAATAATGTGTCAACTAATGAGCTAATTACATAAACTCTGATGACTATTTTTAAAAGAAGTTTAGTTCTATGTCGTATTCACTAAGATGTCGAAATACAGTATCTTCATAGTTAACTTTATTAAGTTATGTTTGCCTCTCATGTTCGTATTGGGAACATAGGTGTACGTTTTATATCCATAAATATTTATATGCAGTTAACACCTGATAGAATCCAGAAGAGTTTGCCATCAAAAAATTAAAATAGTGGGAATTAATAATTTAAAAAGTCCATTTTCATCACTACCTAGCTGTTGAACTGGGCCAATCCCCTGTCTGGCTAGGTCACGGATGTAATAGCGGCCTGAGCTTCGGCAGCCAGCCTCCCAGTGTGTAGGTGAGCTGGCAGTGTCCACACGCTCCCACAGAGGGTCACTGAGGTTGGTGTTCAATCTAACAGCCTGTGGTTCCGCCTAATGGCATTCCCCGAGAGGAAGAGTACAGCCAGGCTTCTCATTACTGTTTGAGAAAGGGAAAGCCTCATTTCCTCCATAATTTGCTTGGATGGTCAAATTATCCGTTAATTGAAAACCTGACAATTTCTAGCTTGCCCGGCTTCAAATGCACTGACTCTGCTTTGTTCGGCTGTTTTACTTAGTGCTCTCCAAGCCACAATTAATACACCGTGGCTTAAGCGTTCCCAGCCACATTAATGACCTGGCAGATGTTGGCTGCCCACAGAGACACTGTCTTCTAAGGACAGCTGTAGACAGAGGAGACTTCATTGAGCCTAATAATCCAGCCTCCAAGATCTGCATGAAGTGTGGGCTCAATGCCACAGTCGAATATGATTTGTGCTTTAACCATATTTTTAAAGAAAATTTATCTTCCTTTAAAAAGACCTATTTCATACTTAAACAACTTTAATTGTATCTTTTCAGATCTTTAGAATTATATTCAGAGTACAGTTAAAAATAAATCAACAAAATATATTCATATAGAATTTAAGCAAAGGGGTTATGTCACTTAATAGAGAAGAGGACAAGTAGCTGGTTTGGCTCAGTGGATAGAACATGAGCTTGAAGACTGAAGGGCCCCAGGTTTGATTCCAGTCAAGGACATGTGCCTTGGTTATAGGCCTGATCTCTGGCCCTGGTTGGGGCGAGTGAGGGAGGCACCTAAGAGATTTGTCTCTCTCACATCAATGTTTCTCTGTCTGTTCCCCTCCCTTCCACTCTTTCTAAATATCAATTGAAAAATATCCTCAGGTGAAGATTAACAAAACAAATGTTTTAAATGAAAACACAGATGATTATCTTGCAGCTCTCTCAAGTTCAACATCTGCAAAACTTACATTCTGCACGCAAACTCTTACCTTGGCAATATTTCCTAATCCCATTACTAACACTGGCACGGACATTGCCACTTGTCTATGAGCCTCACCCACATATAAGCAGTCTCAGGGCTCAAATCTGGCTTTGCCCACACTGCCTCAAGTCAAGGCTACATCCTTACAGTTAGCCTGGTCTTCTGGCAGTTGTTTCTCTAATGCTTCCTGCTTTAATATACGCTACACTCTGCTCCGCAAAATAAAAAAAAGTAAACAATCAAATAAGTAGGTAGCCGATATGCACAACATCATTCAAGTCCTTCAAGTCTCTCGATTCTGAAAGGCAAAGTGCATGCACTCTAACCTTCCCCACAAGCAAGGCGATGCTCAAAATACGCACCAACTAGTGAAGATGGACACAGAGCCATGAGCAGACACCAGGTTCACCCAGCTCAGATGCCACCTCTGAGCCAGCAGCGTGGTGGGAAGTACCGTTCCAGCTTTCTCTGGGCCCTGAATAGGAG